TCAGCAAGTTTAGATTTTTGGCTATGGTTTTGGTAGAAGTTTTATATGGTTTGGAGTTTATATGAAGGAGATATAGGCACTCAAAGTTAAGGTGTTGATTTGAGAGCTATTGTCACTCTTTTTGGCATAACACAACCGTACAAATAGCAATTGAGGATCGGTGACTGCAACTAAAAAGATCGCTTTTGCAGCTATACTTTTCACATATTGATTACTAGATTCCAAGTTAAAGTAAAGGAGTTATTGGATTTTGAAGTCAGCACATGTAATCTAAGGATAGTAAGTGACCCGATTTACTAATGGTTGTGTCTTGAGCTATATCTTGAGCAATTTGACAAGGTTTTGACTCAAAATTTCAGGAAATGTGTAATTTCATGTTAGTAAACTTTCTACATAAGTTTTATGACATTTTAATATTGGATTCTTGAGATATTAAGAAAATAGTGCTCAGGTGCTTGTAAATTAGGGTTTAGAGCATTTGCTTGGGTTTCTTTGATGCCAAACGATTGGGAGTGAATTTGTGGTTGATTTTTTTGTAATAAAATTTAAGAGTGAATACTACCTTTCCTATAAATTTGAAATAAACTAAACGGTTAGATCAAGAGATATGAATTTCTAAAATTCAGGATAAGAAAACCCTTTGTGAAAAAAATATGTTTTGAAGGGATTTTGTTATATTTTGAGTTTTATGCAAAATAAAGGAGTTTTGGAAGCTAAGACAAGATTAATATAAAGGTTTAAGCTACACTCTCTAGAGCTAGATACCCAGCGTATTCCCAGATAGCGAAACACGCCATATCACAATATGTTCTTCAAGCTCATCATGACTTTCCAGTAGTATGATATTTTGGGTACAATAAAACTTTGGAACTAATATCCATGGAATTTTGGTGGCCCTAAATGTGGAAAGCCATCAAAGATTCGTCGCATTATAGATTTCTTCAACATATGATGACCGCTCCTCATGGAACTTGTCCTTAAAAGGGGGGGGGGAGTAATGTCATGGACATACAGATGTAAGCTAGTAATTACATGTATAAATAGATAGAAGTAAATAAAAGTAGGTAAAAGTAAATTAATTCTATAATATTTGCTATAGAAGCTTCAAAGATGTTATTTTGACTTTATAGGTATCTTTAATTGAATTTTTGGATTAGAAATGTTGTCAACAAGTTGGCCATGTGCCACACATGTTGTTAGCTTGAAGACCAAGCTAATTATGTGGCCCACACGTAGAAAAACTTGTCTTGTAAGTCAAGGCATGTGTCCTACAAGGTCAACACATATTGGAGGTCCTATAGAACTTTGCCATATAGCCCCTAATTAGATAGTATATATAGAGACAAGAGTGAAGCCTTCTTCACTCTTGTCAACTCTTTTCTTGCTTGTAGTCTAGTTTCAAGGATCTTAAGTTTTCTTGGCTTTTGATAATAGCCATTCCAATTTCTTTCTTAATATACATATCAAGTTATTTCTATTTTTTCATCTTTCTTTGAAAGAAGTCTCACTTGTTTATTTATTTTTATCATGTTCTTGTCCTTGACACTTACACAACCATGAGAGTAATAAGTCAAAGAAGAAGTTTAAGATGAATATAGAATGAATTTCCAAAGTATTTTATTTACACTTAAAGGTGGAGAAGAAAGAAGAGACTAAAAATACTTTGTGCTTGAATATATATGCATATGATAAGGCTGCATTTAAGACCATCAATTATTAGTTGGTTATGCTAGATTTTGTGTGGAGAATAATGACAAAGAAGCTAATATAGCATACAATGTTTGATCAAGTCATAAATATTAAGCAGCTTAAGAACAAGGGTTGAAATGGGAGACAAGGAATAAGGGATGAAAATAGAGACATAGAACAAGAGACAAAAATAAAGACATAGAAGAAAGGATGAGATTGAGGATGAGAGACAAAGAATGAAGGATGGAAATTATGATGGAAAAGAGAGAATAAGGACATAGGATTGAAAATGAAAAACAAAAAGGAGAATGGATGGAATCAAACATGGAATAGCAAAGAAGAAGGGTGTGGTTTTAACAACATTGGATGTAGCTTTACCAACTATATATATATATATATATATATATATAGAAAGACATTAGGGATTAGATTTTTACAATTAACTTCTTAATGAACTTTTTATATTTTATCCAAAAACCATTTATGAACTTTTAAGTCTCTTTTGTACATCACATTATAATCTAAATATTTTAAATTCAATTTTATTATTTTTTAAAAAAAAATTAAAAAAATAAAATGTGTACATGCATAAACCTCAAAAATCTCCTTCTTCACAATCTCAATTATCTTATTTTGTCTCAAGAATATGTTGTATCTTTTTGTGCCAATTTTTTAGAATTTTGCGTTTAAATGATAAATATTTACTTTCTTCTTCTTTATTTATACAAAGTTGCTAAAAAATAGAGATAATATAATTTATTTTTTACATATTACATTTATGATTTTATATTTTCCTAATTTTTGTAATATGTTTTAAAAAATAAAAAATTAGCATCAAGCCTTATATGACAATAGGAAGATATTTCTATATAAGAATAATAATATATTATGGAAGACAACTTGGATATAAGACAAAGAGACAAAGAAGCCTTCTCATTGGCCAAACATGGAAACAAGCAAATATGGATGAACAAGGGAATAGATAGATGACAATGCTAGAGATTGTAGTGCCCAATAATAAGGGATTTTGCTAATGTAAATAAGATCTTATTATTTATTTATTTGCTTATGACTATTTTTGAATTAATTTAATGTTTCTTGTTCAATTGTCTTTGTTCACTTTACAATTATATCTCAAATTCTTGCAATGTAAATATTCATTCATGCTAATAAATTTTATGCAACTACCATGAAAAATAAGTAATTTGGCTTATGAAGTGAAAAATCCTAATACAATTAATTCTTGTGTTGAATTTTCTATCTTTCTTTTTTTAACATACAAATAAAAAAAACCAAAAAACCAAAAAACCAAAATACCAAAAAAAATAAAATAAAATAAAATAAAAACCAATTACAAGATTATTACAATGTTTCAACAACATTGCTTTTCCATCTTTAACAATCGAGATGGTCAAATAGGAAGGGGTGGGAAATAAATAAATATTCATATTTATATTTATGTATTTATATATTGGAGTGTGTGCTTTGTGGTTGGAGTTTAGGCACCACCTTGTTCATAAATGAAATACATAACACAACAGATCCCTGACAGATTGAATTACAAAACTCTGGAGCCCTATCATGCCAAGCCAGGCCAGGCTAAGGTCAAGCAACTGAGCCAGAGAAGGGAGGAGGAGGCTTAGTGGCATTAAATGAGGAAAGGACACCCCCCCCCCACCTGGACAGACCTCTTCCATGATCACATCCACTTTGCCACCTTCCTCCACCTTCCTCATCCATTCACATTCATCTTCCCCACTTTCTCACACAGTTCCCATTATGTGGATGAAGGAAAAACCGAGGGGGGAGGGGCATGTTCATTATTATTGCATACAATATTAGAAAGGGGGGAGGGTGCAAACCCATTCATATCGTTGTTATTATAAAGGATAAAAAAAGAATCACATTCACATCATTGTTATTATATATATATATATATATAGTACATTTAGAAACATCGCACAATTATTTAGATTAGTATGTCATAAAAATTTAAATTCTATTCATATTATTATTATTATTAAATATTTAAACATAGAAAGAGAGAGTATTTTATTTATTGTCTTCAGTCTGTACGGTAGAACATAAATAACTAGTGTTGCAACATATATGTTATGATCATACTACTTATGTTAAATATATTAAGTGCAACGTTATGGATTGTTTGAACCAAAAATAAGAATCTGATATGCATGAAAAAAAATACACAATTGCAACAAAAAAATCCATGTTGCATATAACAGATTAATTAGATTTGTACATCGTAAATTTAAAAAATATCAGTTTTGATTTAATGTTTAAATATATATATATATATATATATATATATATACTTGTTTTCAAATACAAAGATCTTCTCTTAATAAGTTTTGAAAAATCAAATAATTTTTTTCTATTTTTGTAAATAAGATTACCTATACGAAAAATTGGTGGCCGTCAAAAAAATTAATTATTTTTTAATATGGTTTAAAGTATTCATTAAAGCATTATATGTTGTATTGAAAAAATTATTTAAAACTTATATAGTCATAATCCCCAAATTTTCTTTTGAATTATGATTTGTATATAGAAGCATTAAAATATGTTTAATATATATATATATATATATATATATATATACATGATTAAAGTTGAATGATTTAATAAATCATATAAACAATTTTATTTGATTTTACTCTATTATTGTTAAAATGTAAAAGTAGACATTGTGATATTCTTCACATGTATTTGAGGTTTTCTTCCTAAACTTGAGTTTGTAGTGAGATGGTTGGTCAAGATGGCTTGTGCCATGAATCCATACATTGGAAATTTGTAGACGTGTAAGAATTGAAGGGGACACTCTAAACTCCATCCATGCACACAATGGAGTATATATACGAGAGTGACATAACGCATCCTTCCATGCACGGTTTCATCCATAATTTCATTTATCCATATATCCATCCGGGAACTGACGAGGGTTCGACGAGCGCAGGAGAATGGGTGTCCTATTGAACGGAAGCGACATACAGAAACGACGACGTCCAAGTGGAACTCGGGGGGGGGGGGGGGGGGAGGATCCGTTGGAGGTTCTGTTCAAAACCCCAAATTCCCTCCCCAGAATCCCCACTCCAACCCCACCCCGCCCAAAGCACCGGGGTCAACTTCACCTTGATTTCTCCACTCTCAGATTAGCACGTGTAAACAGTCCCTCCAGGACAGAGTCAGTTGCGCAGACGTGGAATCCACGTCAGACTGGTAGATGCCGAAGATGTGCACGATAAGAACAGATGGTGCTGAGTGGCAGTCCAGTATCCTTTTCGTGTGGCCTGGCCCAGTCAAGCGCGAGAGAGAGACGACGGGGAAGGCGGAGCGGGGAGAGTGAGCGAGCGGTGCAGGCTCAGCAGCTCGGGTGGTGGTGCTCTTGGCCACGGACGGACCGGTGATGCCGATGGGACATGGTATGAACCTGCATCGCCTCGATCTCGCGGTCCCGTAGCTGTCGCTGTTGCACTACCCTCGGTGGTTCTGTGTGTGATGAGGTCGAGCGCCTTTCCCGGAGCTCTTCGGATTCACCGCGTGTTCCATTCTGTAAGTTTTTGAGCTGAGAGGCATCCGAAGTGGAAGAGAATTCTGGGTGATGACTTTAGAGGGACCAGGATGAGCGCCAGGCGTGGGATTGATTGTGGAGTGAGAGGTGGAGAACTGAATTGAATTGAATTGAGTGTTTGTGTTCGTTTTGTTAAAATTAGGTTAAGCGTGGGTTGGTTGGTATTGGAGTTGGAGTTAGAGGATGTGGTCCACCATGAGATGGTGAAGGAGGGCGATGATTGATGTGGAGGTGGTGGAGGGCTAGGGGGGTGGGAGGATTGGAGGCAGGGGAGGAGAGGATGGGAAGGGGGTGAGGCAGAGAGGAGTTGCAGGACTTGAGGAGTTTTGGAATGGCATCAAGAATGGGTGGGAGATAAGGAGAGGATGCTGATGCATTGGTATGGGAAAGGTCGTTGAGAGGGTTTGTGAGGTGGTGATGGCATTGCGGACGAGCAGATGTTTGAGAGGAGCAGCAGTGGTGACGTGAAGAGAAGGTATTGTGTAATTTTAGGTGTGAAAGAAATCAGTGACTGCTAATTGATTTTGGAGGATGGTCGCTGCGGTAGCGTCTTCGTCCCCTTCTGCCCCTGTGGACAATGTACTCGAGGCTCAAATAGAGAGGAAAAAAGAAGGGAAAAATGTACAGAATTATGGAGGACTTCCGCCAGCAGAGAAGGTCAAAGTGGTCCGTAAAGCGCGAACAATGGAGATCACATCCCGGTACAAGACCGCAACTACTGCTCTTCACACTCCAGTAACACCTGCCAGTCGCCGCCCCTCACCAATCAGACAATCTTCTCCTTCTCGTCAACCGTCACCAGTTCGGAATAGGAGTTGTAGTTCTAATTCCAGCATTGTAGGAGCTTCAGAATGCCTCCTTCGGCACCCATCCCCTAACTTGGGGCGCAGTAACAATGTACCGGATGTCACTAAGCGTGCTCTCTCGGCGGAGAGGACCAGACGTCCATGGCCTGCTGCTATTTCGTCGGAGAGCAAATCGACCTCGATGAGCTCCACAGCTGTCGGATTGGCTTCCAGCATTAAGTCTCGTCCTCATTTCAGAGGTCCTGAATTATGGCCATCCATGTCTGCATCCAAGCAGGGTGCGGACTCCAACGGTGATAGTGCGAGTGATCGGAGTGACTGTCTGTCAGAGGGGGGAAGTGAGAAAGAGGCGATTAGCAAAACTTTGAATAATGCCCCAAGACCTGCAGCAGATGGAAATGGTATTGGGAAGATTTCAGGGTCTACCTCTCGGCCAGGTTCTCCTATGCGGCGTCAGAGCATTGATCAGTCCGATACTGCCCGGTCTACAGAAAATTCTCATTCCAAGCCAGACCACCAGAGATGGCCTGGTATGAGCACAGTGAAGGTATCAAGTGGCGCCATGAATAGGAGTGTGGATGTTGGTGTGGATAGAGAACGACCTCTTGCACGATCGACAACAACGACAACACCAACTCGTTCTGGAACGCCTTCTTCGCGAATTAAGGCTGCCATTTCTCGCAGTTACATTCGATCTGGTTGTAGCGACGGGTCAGTTGCTCCATCCAGTCAAGTAGCGCCAAGACGCAATCCTACTCCTCCTAGGGGTAGAACGGGGACGACGGAGAGTGTCGCCCAGGGAACTCTGGCCAACAGCAATGGTAATGACGATTCTGCGCATCCAAGTGGCAATGGTACAGGTGGAGGGGATCATGCTAGTCATGCCCGACGGCTTTCACAGGAATCAGTTGCAACGGCAGATTCTCTTTCTAGACCTGTTGATAACGTGTCTGATACTGAGAGTGAGAGCGTGATTTCAGCTGGTTCTGCACCTGGGAGTCGAGTTGTTCGGGGAACCACTGTGCCTGCCCGTGTGTGGCAGGACATGAACAATAGATTACGACGGTTCTCTGAAGGAGATCAAAATCGGACATCAGGTGCGTCTGATCTTCCAGCAGTTGCCATTGCCCCTGTTAAGACTGTTAGACGTTCGAAAGTGGTGCCCCACCAATCTGCTGTGAGCACGCTCATGAATCAGAGTATGAATCAAAGTATGAACGGGAGTACGTCTGCGTGGGCATTTTCTCCTGGTCGGCTGCCAGTCAATTCCTCCTCGTCAACCCCACACCCACCTTCTTCACCTTCACACTCGAAGGGTACGTCACCTCTAAGAGGGTTGCCTAGTCCGCAGAGGTCACGGCCTGTTCCTGGAGCCGCTGTAGCACTGGCAGGATCTGCCCGTAATTTAGGAAGCACCACAGTGAATTTCGGAATTGATGGTAGAAATAAAGGGAAAAAGGTGTTGACGCAACAGGAAGAGGCTCAGCTCTTGAGGATTCTTCACAATCGCTGGCTGCAATGGCGCTTCGTGAATGCCCGAGCTGAAGCTGTAATGAGTGCGCAGAAAGCAGCTGCCGAGGTACATGATAGAACCATTGCTCCGTCTTGTTTACAATTTGATGGAGTTGGAAGGCATTGCTTAGTTTACGTACGGTTCATTGCTTGTGTATGGACATTCTTATGTACTTACTCATAACTCAGTGTTGCGTACACAATTGTCGAACTCGAAGAGTCTTCTCTCTCTCTCTCTCTCTCTCTCCCAATTTTTGAATTAATATGATGTGTCCCGTTTCGAAGCTCCGTTGTTAAAATTGGCTGCGTAGAAAACTGTAGTAACTTATTTCATCTTTTTAGAACGTTAAATGCTTCCTAACAAGCCGGTCTTATACCTCTAGTTCTTCCACTGTGATTTCGCATTCTTGCTTTCATCTCAAAGTACTATGCGAAACGACATTAACTGTTATGCTCACTTTAGTTCACAACTTTCTGGTTTTGGATAGTGAATTTCACTCTCCGTAACTTTTGTATCCATCCTTTCGATTTTGCATGCAAGTATTTTAGGACGGCTGAAGCTAGGGGAAGGACATTCTGCCAGGTGCTGCTGTTGATTAAATCCCTTGGAAGTGGGCAGCACTTTAGGAACAATGCTCTCTAATCATGTTCCTTGTCAAGTGCTGATTAATAGCCCTATCATGAGGTGAATGGCATGTTGTTTTGGCTTAAGTTGTTTAGGAAAGGTCTACTACATATAATTTTCTTCAAAGTTCATCTTAATTGAGAGGCCTGCAAGATTCTACGTGATTTTGTGCCAATGTTACGTGATGGAACACAAATCTGATAAAAAAAATTATGTCAGATTTGATTTTTGTGCTACCTTACATCATACGTTTTATATGTCCGTGCCTTTTGTACACTTTATTTGATGTGTAGGATATTTTACAATTTGATTAAAAGCTGGTCGCAACTGGAAAATTCATGCAGATTTGGGATTACAATTGGTGGATGTTATTACAGCTCGGATCGGATCTCACTGATCTTTATTTTAATGGGCGATTTGTACTATAATTTGGCTGTAAATGTCTGCAATTTGTATATTCCTGTTGACATTCGATTTGGATGTTACAGAGGCAGCTATACAATGTTTGGTTGAGAACATCGGAGTTGCGCACATCAGTAGCTATGCAGCGAATTAAACTCCAGCAAGCCCGGCAGGCTCACAAGCTACGCTCTATATTGTCTGTACATGTAAGCAACATCCATTTTTTCAATTACATAGTCTATACTGAGGTGTTTTTTTAAACATGTTTGGATTTATCAGAGGATGGTTCTTATACCATTGAACCTGAAATTCATGAAATTTGTGATACCTTGTGCCCTTTCGTCTGAACTGAACCTTTCAAGATTCAAAATTCTCGAGGTTTTATGGAGGATGATGTATCTCTTGCAGGCAATCCATTTGGAAAATTGGGAAACCCTAGAGGAAGAGCACTCTAATGCACTGACGGGATGCATGGAAGCCCTAGAATCTGCAATTTTGAGAGTCCCAGTAACAGGAGGTGCCCGGGTAAGGAAACTATTATTTCAGCCTCAGTAGATGTTGCGGCTTTTTTCAAGCATCGTCTTGTTTTACATGGATTGCAAACATCTTCTGAATTCTTTCGTTTCGTTAGTGTGCAGAGGTTTTGCGAGGTTCTCAATCACTATCTCTGATACTTCTGCCATCCCCCATGTGAATTTGCAGGCCGATGTGCATGCTGTAAAAGAAGCTCTTAACGCAGCAGTGGATGTGCTGAATGCAGTTGAAGGATCTGTTCATGTCCTTTTACCAAAGGTGAGATTGTCTTTGATCAAACTCGGTTTATTCCTCGTAGAAGCTGTTTGAATGCCACAAAATGCCTTTTCTTCTAAAAGTCCATGCACTTTGTAACTTGTCTCAGCATTTCCTGACTTTCAAATACTTTTCATCGTGCAGACTCAGGCAATGGAAGCCTTATTATTACAGTTGGCAGAGACAGCAGCACAAGAGAGGGCTTTGCTAGAGGAGTGTGGAGACCTCTTATCTATAGCTGCTTCTTTGGAGGTGATTACTAACAGCAACCATTTTCTCACTCATTAGCATCACCAGTAATGCCCATATCTGATATTTACACTGAGTGCGTGTTAAAATCTCGTTCATCATACATAGCGAGTTGCAGTTTTACCTTCTGTTTGAAAGAGCACAACGTTCGCATTCTTCACTATATCAAGATTTTCTTGGTGGATTCTAAGCGGATCATTTCTTCGTGTACGTTGATGGTTGAGCAGGTAGAGGAGCGTAGTTTGCGCACACACCTTATTCAACTGGAAAATGAGAGACAAAGCTTGTTCAAAGCTTAACCTACGAATACGTCTTCCTCATCATACCTGTCTACGCCATAAGGGTATTTTTCTTTACTTGATCGAACAATGCCCACGACGGGGCCCAGAGCCTGCTGCCTCCCACTTGGGAGAAACCTCCCAAGCTCTGACGATTTCAACTTGACAATGAGACCCCAACCGCTTGAATTTCTTGCTCAGACAGATCAATGCAGAGAAACTGGGAGGCGGTTTTATAGCTAAGTGACTGTTCGAAATCCTCTCTTGCTGCATTATGGATGGAAGGACCTGCGCTTTCAAGCCTCACTGAGAGCTTTATTCATGTAAAATATGCTGATCAACGAAGGCCGTTCTTCCCTGGGTGCAGGCTACTCAGTCGGACTTGGGTATTCTTCTTGTCATATAACCTGCTTCTCGATTTGTAGACTAGAGACCGTAGATTGATTCGTGCCCTTGGTATATGGCTATTTGCCAGAGAGATTAACTCATCGATTTGGCTTTTCTAATGTATCTATGTTCATTACACGTGAGAAGCCCGTTCTTTCCCTTTGATTATTATTGTAATGTTTTGCCTTTCTGTGTCCATGTTGATTAGGTTCCTAACTTCCAGAGAATCGAGTAATGTGAATAACCTGCACAGTACACACTTCACATCCCGTTTCATGGGAAGTTTTTAAAACGATACTGAACACTAACTTTTGTAGCCATTTTGATGTAATTTTAGTAATGTATAATTTGAAATTGGTTCATGTTACTTTCTGTCTTTAAAATGTTCGTAGCATGTGTTGATTAATTTGTGTAAGACAGATGGATCATTGTGTCTATTAATACAAATTAAACAAAACTATTTGTCCATAACAGATCTTTGGAATAACACCAAACACTACTGCAAGATTGCAACACACTGAGTTTAATATCTTCTAATTGATTTCCTTGTGCATGTTTGTGCTGAATTATTGTGTGTAGTACTTTGTAGTGCTTTGATTGCATATGTCAATCAATTTATAATCGATAATCAATATTAAGGGTACCAAATACAAAAACAGATAAAACTACTAAAACGTTGGGATTGAATGTTCAACACGATCAATGCTTGTGTAATGTTCACATGGCACAAATCGATAGATATTTTAAAGAATTTAGCAACAATTTTTTCTAGTGACAAGTGGATTAATTACATATTCTTCAAAACCCATAGATATTACAATACCAATAAACCACAAATATTAATAAAAATATAATACTTGAATTTCATATACTTTATTAATAAACATTAACATACAAATTAGCAATTAGACAAAACCATTTATGAACAAGAATGCAATTCTTTTGTGAATCTTATGACTATAACCAACAAATGGTTTTGAAAATCAAATCTTAAAATCAATTTATATAATTAACAAATATTTTTAGATGAGAAACTATTTTATGTTCTATTATTGATAATATAATATTTTTCATGATCTAAATGTAAACTTTTATATTTAATAAATATAATCAAAACACAATAAAATTGCTTCAATTATTATATCATTGAGAAACTTGCTTCACATCATACTTGGTTTTGAATGATATATCATATACATGGGTGTGGGATTCAAAGCTCAAATAAATTTCTTTTAGTTAAAATATTAATAAAGATTTGGTCATATCCCATGCTAAGATAATATATACCTCAAAAAGAAAGAATTACTAGTAAAAGCACATAAGGTAGCCAATTCATTATCAACCACCTCCCATTTCCAACATATAGTCAATTAGTTCTGATATATTATGGTTGGAAACAGGCCTAGCAGAAATGATATTAAATTGTGAGTAATATAAACAATTCATTGTACTCAGAATTAGTAGGCGTGAATTGTCAAAAATTAATTTTTGTATTAGTAGAATTCCACATGTGCTACAATTGATTATGCATCAACAAATCAAGGAGTCATTGGAGTAAGATTGGAAGATCGAGGATGTATAAAATATTGTTTGGAGATGAGAAGAAATGAGGAAGAATAGTGGCAAAAATCCAACTCAAACATGGTGGATTACTCACAACTGGATGTTTGAATTTTTGATGTCTCATCCACATATTTACATATGTATGTAGCATGGAATTAGGTGAGGTTTGATAGGATAATTAGGTGCCATACATCACAGTTTTGTAAACCACCACTAGTCAGAATTAGATTGACATATATGTTGAAAATGGATCAAAGAGAATCTTCAGCTAAAAAAATTATATAAATTCTATTTTTGGACCATATTGTATAAAAACACTTGAAATCCTCTTGATTTCTATTTCCCTACATGGGGGTATTTTTCTATTTTTACAACTATTCAATACATACTAAAATGCTGAAGTTATTGGAAATGGGTTGTCAACCTTGTATTACATCCACGATGGATACTTAGTGTAGAGTTAGAGATCTCTTACTTGATCATATATATATGTATATGTAAATGTGTTTCAACAAAACGAGTACCATTAAAGATGTTTCTGACTTGGATTAAGTGCTAATTCCATTACAGTTGATACTGTTACATGTCAACTTCCAATTACATGTGGACGAACATGTTTGACGGAAAATGTCCACACTCACCTAGATTTCATTAGTCATCCATTGGTCATCTAATCTGAAACGTCCACAGCATTAGTCGAAAGACGGAAGGAATCAACGCCGACAACAAGAAACCAGGTGCGAGATCGAGGGGTGAGGGCGGCTGCATAGGTGTCGGTAGTGCACTCCGTTCGTAGAGTTTAGAGTTTCTCTGCATTGTTGTCAAAAAACAGCGAGCCTCTTGCAAATGGAGGTGGTGAAATCAATGCTGTACACAGAAGGAGACGATCGGTTGCCTCTCTATTGGTACATCGACACCGTGGTGATTGCATTGCGAAGACAAGTCTAGGGTGCATGTGAGAGACACTGGGCAAGCTGGAGGCGACAAGCGTGAGGTATTCACGCTCGTGGAGTCGAACTGGATGCAATCGGGGATTTACAAGCACAGCTTGACAGTCAAGACGGCGGGTATGAAGTTTCTGATGCAAAATTCGTCGCCACGTCTAGATCATACGCAGCATGTGCGGACTGTGGAGCATCCTGTACGATTGCGACTGGATGTTAATATTTTCTTTTTCCAGCCAGGAAAGAGTAAACTCATCTGACCAAGAATGGAATGCCGAAATCGTCACAGTCGAGCATTTGCGGAGAAAGAACCCTCCTTGCGAATGTGTTGTCCCTTGTTGAAATGAATCGTACTGCTGAGTCATGACGATATACAAGAGCATCCAACTGCTTAGATCTGACAGGAAGAGTAATTAGGTGTGGGGTTATTGTGGACTTAGACATTTGTCTCAAGTTCTAGTCTCGCATCACGGAAGCCGGAGAAGGATGTGGTCGATCTGGTTGTACTGAGGACTTCTACAAGAAGGACAGCTCTGTTTGAGGTCGGATTGGGATCGCTTGAAAAGCTTGTTCTGTTACGTTTGATCCCTCCACCATGAGCAACGAGCTGAATTGAAACTCAGAAAGGTCTTGCTGCATCAACTGATGCAGGTGGCAAAGACACTGAAGGGTCGATGAGGTGCAGAGCGAATCGACAGCAGCTGTAAGGGTTCCTCTTCCTTCTCCTCCTCCTCCTCCTCTTCCTTCGCAGCACCGCATTATGCTTGAATTGTGTTGCGCTCCGGCGTCACTCCCATGAACATGAAAACACGGACCAGCACCGAACCTACGTTTTCATCGACGATTTAGTGTTGAAACCTCACCTATAATGACTTCAATGGCTTTGCAAGTGCATTAGTAGTGATTACATACAATAATTTTAAATCTCAATTGGCACTAAATAATGTCAACAAGATTAAATTACTACCAAATCCAGTTGGGTTACAAAATGAAACAAAAGCATCTGACAATCTCAAACATGAAAAGACTCGTGCACATGGTCTCAAAAAAGTTAGAAGGTAATGATTGAGCAAGAAAATACTTTATCACATTCATTGATGATTGAGTGGAATCTGAAGGGAGATAGCATAAAGGTCTTACATAACATTTATTGATAATTGAGTACAATTGAAGTAAAGCCTGGACAACAACTTCAATACATTTATGTCCTTAATGTGTTTTTTTTTTTTTTTTTTTTTTTTTTTTTTCATTCTTTACTAGAGACCTGTTAAAACAACAACATTTTTTATATTATTTTTATTTTTTGTCACAAATTATATAGATTACATTTTATGTTTGATGAAAGAATTTCTTCCAATTCAAGGCATTTAAATTTGATTAGAGTTTTATCTAACAAAACATTTCACTGCATCTAAAAATACACTATTAATGAATAACTTAAAACTAAATACCATTGAAAATATCACATTTCATTTCCCAAGTCAGTTTTCAAAGTCAACACTTGGATACATTTCGAAAATCTATTGTTATCTGACTACCATTGACACAAGTTCAGTGCTACCCTTTTTTAGTACATGACATCACCACCCCAAAATACATTACATTACACCACTTAAAATGCACGATTTGCATATTCTGCTTTAAACGACTTTCACTCTACATTAGAACCAAATGACAAGTTCAGAAGTCAATAAACAAACACACACACACATACACAGAGCGAGAGAGAGAGAGAGAGAGAGAGAGAGAGTTCAGTCCGAGTAGAGCATGAAGAAAGGATGGATGATGAGATAGAACAGTCAGTCACAGTTACACGGACTGACGGACACAGGCACTCAGGAGGGATCGAATGGTTCACAAATGCCATTCAATCATTCATCCATAATTTCATCCATCCATCCATATATTCCAAGAGGGATCTACCGAGACAAAAGATAAACAGAGGAAGCCAAAAGTCTAGCGACCAGGTTGACTTCGGAGTGTGAACGTTGACTCCCTCCCTCCCTCCGGAGGGTCCAAGGATGCAAAGGGGGGGATGCCATGGTAGTGCCCGTTTCTAAGGCATTGATTGGCATGGCAATGGCGATGGCGGAAGGGACGACGAATTGGGCGAATTTAGACACACACACACATACGAGAGAGAGAGAGAGAGGAGAGGGAGAGGAAGAGGGAAGGGAGGGAGAGATTCGGTGGTCGAGTTCGCAAAGAAGCGCAATGGGTGGGTGAGAGCCTCTTCGCCTTCGCTATCCCCCCCCCCCCCCGACTCTTCGTTCCATCTCCGCCCGCCCTCGACAGCCTCATTCATTCTCCCTCCCTCGTTTGGGCTAATTTTGGACTCTATTTGAAAACCCCCCCCCCCCTTCTCTCCCATGCTGCGTGTAGACCTGGCTCATTCACGTTCCCCCCTCAGATCCTATGTGGATAAGTTCGCTGGATTATTTTACTTGGACGTGATTCCGTTGATTGATATGTAAGTCCGGCAGACCCAGTTTGTAATTCTCGTGGCTGTCGCATAGAGAGGGTTAGTGACTGCTGAATCGATTCTGCTTCTGAGCCTGGAAGTGGTGTGGTACGAGGTCATAAATATAAAGGAATTGGTACCAGGCTGGGTGGGATCATTTCGTCGCTCTAACAGAGTTGTTTTGTTGCTTGTATGGAGCATGGGTTTGTAGTCTTGTTAGAATGGTGAGGGGTGTTGGAGGAAGAGTCTGCGTTGCGGTGAGGCTTGTTCGATGAGAGATGGTTGCGTGGTTTAGGTAATGCATTTATTGTTCCCCTCCCGCTCCCTATTTTTTTTTGGGGGTTTGCTGCAGCAGCTGTCCTTCTCAAGTGGAAAGGTAGTGTGAATAGGTGGAGTGAGGGAAGAGCTTCTCCTCAAGTGCTCTGACAACTTTAGGGTTTATTTGCAGGAAGCTACCAAGTGTTGAATGACCAAGCCATCGCTTTATGATTGCAAGAGTACTCCCTGACACGCGTGGAACAGGGGATTAAGTGAATGGGAGGGAATGCGTTTCTGAGAGGAATCTCATGTTCTACTATGAGAATGTAGAGAAAACAAGAGGCGTCCGTGTTGCACTTGTGTGGGTGCATGTCGTACTTGCAAGTTTTGTAGAGGAAAACTTAAGTTACTTATGTTTCGCAAGAGTTTTAGGTTTCGAGGGATCGCCACTGCCAGATTTAGACACACACTTTTCAAAGAGTGAGAGGGGGCGAGGTTGAGGGGAGAACGCTGGCGCGCACAGGGGGCGCCTGATGGCTGATCGGCCTCAAGCACATGTAACTTTTCATGAAATTCGTCTGGAAGTGAAAGAGCCGAAGTACAAAAGCGTGAGTATCATCTTAAGCGGAGCTGGAGATAAGGGAGGGGGCGAAAGCGGGGAAGAATGCTGAGTGTAGTGCGGGTGCACCTCCCGACCGACATTCCCATTGTAGGCTGCGAGTTGTCGGCCTATGTGCTGTTGCGACGGGGAGATTCGAGTCTTTCTCCTGAAGATGTTACCGAGGCATCGTCTACGGATGGCTATTTTCTCCAGTGTCGATGGTATCTGTCCTTACTTCTAAACTTTTCTTTTTGTTTATTGTGGAACATTCATGCTAACGTTCTTCTTGAAAGACGACAGTCCGTGAGTTGATGTTTTCATGAGTAAGCCTATGATATGGAGCTCTATAGGCTTAATTATATCTTAGGTCAATTTTGTGTAGATAACAAGTTTGCATCTTGACATGTCAAATATGTGATTTGATATGATCGCTGTGTCTTCGATAGGTGCAGGGTCGGTATTTGGTTGCACACTATCGGAAGATAAGGATTTGACTTGCATGACTAGTACTAGTTAGGTTGCTTTGTAATTGGCGTCCTGATAGGCGAAAGTATAATTTGTTGCTTGTGTTAACTAAACAGGTACCGACTGCAGAGTGAACAGACAATTCTAGTCTGCTGTGTACACCCAGCTGAGCCTGCTACACTGCAATGTATGCAGTGTATGAAAGCAAAACTCCCCCAGTCAAAAAGCTTACATTGCACCCAGAAGTGTTTCACAGACTCATGGCGGCGTCATGTTATTATGCACCAGGAGGCCATCGACAAGCGAGAAAACGGTTTCGAAGAAGAAGATTCCTCTTACGTGTTCAACTCTAACCCGGCAAAAACTCATCAATCCTTGGATGGGGGTTTAGGTAGTGGTGCAATGCGCGGTGTTAATCACACCAATGGATCTATATTCTCTAGCCCTGTTCTGATGGCATCTCACAATCAGAACCAGGAATCCGGTGATGTGTGGTGCGAGGTTGGACAGGGGAAGACCTATACACCGACAACGGAGGATGTAGGTCACATTCTGAAGATAGAGTGCGTGGTAATCGATGGAAGTATGGGGCGGCCGGCAGAATCTCCTCATCAGAGGCAAACATCACGTGTCATCCCTGCACCATCTCCAACTCCGCGGCGGTTGATGACTGTGAATTCTGTGGATGGAATGGGTCTGGTGGAGACGGATGGGCGCACTGCGTCTTTTGGGACTTTTACTGTGCTTTCTTACAATGTTCTATCGGACCTGTATGCTACCAGTGAGCAGTACAGTTACTGTCCTCCGTGGGCATTGGCTTGGACGTATCGAAGGCAGAATCTGCTCCGGGAAATTGTAGCGTACCGGGCAGACATTCTATGTCTTCAGGAGGTATTCTCTTTTTACTTCATCTTGAACTGTGTGAGTTAGAATTAGGAGTAAACAGTAATTGTCCCTTTTCGAAACTGCTATGTTTCAGTTCTCTCAAATTTAGTATGATTTGCGCATTATTTTTTGGATAGTTAGGGCTCTGGATTGTATTATTTTACTGTCTCTGTTTAATAACAAATTATATTTATGTAAGAGTTCAGATACGACCAGGAAATTCTAGGTAGTTGAAGTGATGCAAATGGGATATGGTTCGGTTGGATCTGCAGGTGCAAAGCGATCATTATGAAGATTTTTATGCAGTTGAGCTAGAAAAGCATGGTTACACAGGTGTATACAAGAAGAAAACTGGTGAGGTAAGATTTATTTTGCTTTATGTTGTAATTGTGCCCCAGCTAGTCCCATTTCTCTCTGTATTTGTAGGAATAATTTAGGTAACTTTCTCCGAAGATTTATTTACTTTTACTTTTATTTTTCCATTGGATTGCAGGTGTATACAGGATCTGTTTATGTTATTGATGGTTGTGCTACCTTTTTTCGGCGAGATCGCTTCTCATTAGTAAAGAAATATGAGGTAAGAAGCTTTCTGCTTCTAAATTCCAACTTACCTCATACCAGGTAAGAAGCTTTTCATGGGTGGCCCAGTCAAATATCTGTTTGAGTATGCTTAGGTATCACGAGCAGATACGAAGCGTGACACAATATCGTAGTTGTCTGTTAATGTCTCTTAATCTTCCTCAATGACTATTTGCAATTTTTTGTTCAGTCCAAGAAATTGGGTTTTGTTTCTTTGATAATAGCTGAACTGTTATCATGTGTGGTTCTTGATTCTGTTTGGACCTGCCAGCATGAATGTTCATAATACTTGATTTGGTTGGTTCTCTTTATTGCCTTCTCTTTTAACTTTCTGTCAACCGTTCTAATCCCTGGTTTTTGAACGTCACTCTGAGTAGTTAATGTTTGACGTAATCCAATGAGATTGTATGTTCAAATTGCAGTCATGATAATCGCTGTCTATCATGCAGGTGGAGTTTAATAAGGCCGCACAGTCATTGTCGGAGGCTTTGATACCAACTACTAAGAAGGCGGCTTTGAGTAGGCTTTTGAAGGTTAGTGTATGCTTTAAGCGTGCCTGGAAGTGCGCTGCCCCTCAAGAGCTCTAGCATCTTGTTGTCTTTATGGATTCTCTTGTTCCTAACAATCTAGTACTAGGGATTAAATTTTTTCCTATTACATATTTATGAAATGTAATCAATCAACTTTAGAGAATTCTCACGATATGAATTGGAACCTGCTTTAAGTACGTAAATTGATGTGTGATGGAACGATGTTTTTCATGTAGGACAATGTAGCTCTGATCGTGGTGCTGGAAGCGCGGGACACTGGAAGGCCAATGGATTCCCAAGCAGTTTCTGGCAAGCGTGGCCAACTTCTTTGTGTGGTGAGTGCCCTGATGGGGGAGAAATTATTAGTACGGTTCTGTGAAGGTGACTTGGACCATCCTGTAGATCGTCTTATGCCTAACTATGCGTGTATTTGAATCGGTGAGGCTCTCAATGTCATCTATGTCGATGTATGTCGATGTATTCACATCCCACTTTGGCACCGTCGGCTTAATGACTTGGTGGACAGGCAAACACGCATATTCATGCAAACCAGGAACTTAAGGATGTCAAGCTCTGGCAGGTATGCAGATCCCTTCTGTCTTCTTTATCCAGCTCACATCTCTGGAAAAGTGGTTTCGCGTCAAAACCAGTGGTTTTGTTGATTGTTGATTGGTCCGAATACTGTCGGTCTTCTGAATCCCGGTCTATTTTTGCACAGTAGGTCGGTTGAGTACTCGGGCATGTTCGTGTTCAGGTACACACTCTTCTGAAAGGACTTGAAAAGATAGCAGCCAGCGCAGACATACCAATGTTAGTGGCTGGTGATTTCAACTCTGTTCCTGGCAGGTGAGTGTATCTTATCCTTCTTATCATTGTGTGGCCGTGTATGTATACTGGTGGATCGTTGCATCGGTAACGCGACTTTCTAGGGACGTAGGTAGGAATCCTGCTTGAGAGCTATGGTACGATTGTACGATTGTGATCGACTGAAACGGTTCTGTTCCATCGTATTGGAATGTTGTTGCAGTGCACCGCATTGCCTGTTGTCAACAGGCCGTGTAGATCCTGCTCATCCAGATCTACAAGTTGATCCACTCAACATTTTGCGGCCTGCAAGCAAACTTTGCCATTCTTTGCCCTTGGTGAGTACGTTTATTCGATTTTTTTTTTTTTTTTTTTTTTTTTTTTTTACTATGTATTGTACTTTTCATTTGCACTTCTACGAAGTCTGCTTTGAAAGTTATCTGTACAGTCTATTCGTCATCCTTCGTGAGTAGAGAAAAAAAGTTGTGTATTTTGGAGCTGGTAGAATTTCACATCTAAAACTGATTTGTTGTGGCAACTTCCAGGCAAGTGCTTATGCATCGTTTGGGAAGATGAACGGAATGAACACTACAGTAGAGAAATTGAGGCTTCGAATGGATTCAACCACTAGCGAACCACAATTCACTAACTGTACCCGAGATTTTCTGGGCACCCTCGATTATATTTTTTACACTGGTGAGACAATCTTGTTTTTTCTGACAGTTGTACAAAAATTTTAAGTTGGAGAAAACAAATAGATATGAAATATTGTTGTAGATTATATCTAATTTTTTTCTTTACTCCCGTTTTTGAAAATAAAGGAAGGAGACGCAACTCTAATTAGTATGGTTTGGAAAATTTTGTTCTGTGGACTGGTGTTTCCATCCGTGTAATATCTGAGCCTTTAGGAGTGACCTGTTTGGGAGATTACGTTGGAATACCATTCTGACCAGTGGAAAATGATATTCTGCAGGGGATTCACTTAGCGTAGAATCACTTTTGGAATTGTTGGATGAAGACAGTTTACGCAAAGACACTGGGTTGCCTTCTCCGGAATGGTCATCTGACCACATTGCCTTATTGGCTGAGTTCCGGTGTAAACCTCGCATGCGTCGTTAGACTTGCTTCTTCAAGCTTTGTTGGGACTTGAACAAATCGCAGTTTGTTTAAGCCATTGGTTTTGGTTGCGCACTTGAGCAGCCAACGACTTATCTATCATTTCTCATGCGTTAATCTATCTTTGACACTGTTTCAGAAATCAGAGTACAGAAGCCGAGAGTTTGTTTTCTTTATAAGTTTCTACTCGCCGACAAGAAGTCAGTTATTTATATTATTAGAGACATGAAGAAGCATTTATTTCTGCTCCTGTTTAGCAGATCGTATTCAGAGTTGCAGTTGACGTGAGGTTCGGAGTTTGAGCTCAGAGTTGAGTAGTTGTCGCCATTTTCCCGGACAGAATATAGCCACCTGCAACAGGATGAATAAGGTTGGATTAGAGAGCGCTCCAAGTGAAATACTAGTTCAGTTGTACATTTTTCTAGGTCAGCAGCTATTGGGTGTTATACAATTATTGAAATTTGATGATTTAATGTGTCAGCCTGCGTGATAAGAAAGTGCAATTGTTTCCTCACGAACGGCACGAATCGGGGATGTCCGTACGTTGACCATCAACAGGCGGTGCAAGGAGATGTAGAAGATGGATAAAGGGTATGCAGTGAAGCACAGCAATGGAAGGTCATGCACAAGTGAACGCTACTGGAGAATACAAACCTGATCTTTGGCAACAAATAAATCACGTCATCATCATTGTTTACGTGTGTGAATCGTAGTAGAGATTATTGAAATGGTACCAGTCATAATGTTGTTACTGTACAGAAAATAAGTAGCTCAACACAGGTAAGTAGGAAGTTTGTACTAAGATGTATACGTCAATACAATGAGACTGATTATCAACTTGAATCAGAGCAACTAGTGTAGCAAATTTGGTTTGGTGAGCAGTTCTCCGGCAAGTACTAATAGTCTGAAACATCTAGATTATTGAGTTGAATGTTGCTGCTTACGATGATAGATAGTCGAGGTACGTAGGCTTTTTGCTTTGCAGACCACTAATAGATGCTCTTATATCTTTGTACTGGAGAAATCTCAGGCTTAGAATGAAGGGAGGAGAAGGTCAAGTAAAGACAGTAATGTGTGAGAGCAATAAGTTAGAGGGAGGGAGTAATTACAATGTTTGGCGATTGAAACTGATAGCATGGTTCAAGGAAGAGAATATGTGGGAAATAGTGGATAGCAAAGTGGTCTCTACCTTCATTATAAGTCATATATCCTTCATTATAAGTCATATATATACTGAACAAATCTTCAAAGGTTAGAGCAGAAATCATTTTGGTTATGGCAGTGAAAGATGAGCTAACCGATCTTGTCTCTGAAAATGAGGATTCTGTTGATACATGGCAGATACTCAAAGTTCAATTTCAGTTAGAAGATGTATCTCAGATCGTACTTTTCACTAAACTTCATCGCATGAGGATGCAAGATAGTTGAAACGTAGGAGAATATATTAGAGAAGTTAGAGAGCTAAAAAAGCAAGTTCAGCATGTTAGGGCAATCAGTTGAGCACTCAACAGTAGTACAATTGATGCTTGCAGAATTATCAAGGAGTTTTGAAGCGTTCAATCAAAGTCCATGCATGCAGGATAGGGTACCAGCATTTATAGTTATAGCATCCAAATTGCTGAGGCACATCGCCTCGAACTAAGAGGAAAATGAGTAGAAGATGAAGAAGCTCTCTCAGTTGAGTTTTGCAGGTTTAATACTGCAAATCAAATTAGGAAACGGTTTACTTGAAACTTTGGAGGTCAAAATCACACATACAATGCTGGTTTGAACTACTGCACAAGTGGACGAAACAACAACAATAACCGCCAATTCACATCAAACTATGGACAGCCAAGAAAGTGACAAAAATGACTGCTCAAATTGTGGTAGCTCGATGCACCCGACACGTTACTGCAGATACAATGTCACGAACTCAACACAACGATCACACAGGGATGAAATTAACGTAGTTCTAATGGAGGACACACAAGCTGAACCGGCTGGTAAATATTGCAAAAATGACATAGAAGTAGCATTTACTGAACTTTCAAACATAGCAGAACAAAGACAACCATAGTACCTGGACTCGGGTGCCATCCGTCATGTCACAAGTGTATGAACAACACTAGAAGCAGTTAAGTAGAAATCGGCACTGTAATCACTGTCTGAGGAAAAAAACATCGAATCAAATCTACAAGAACTGCTGTAATTGAGACAACCAATGGTGCAATAAAACTGGATAAAATTTTGTACGTACCATCTCTTAGATGCAACCTAATTTCAGTTGGATGCCTTGTTGAATCTGGCAATGTAGTAACCTTATCTGCTAGCAAGTGTTGGATTTTTGCTGATATGAACAAGAAACAAGTGATAGCCACAGGTCAGCGAGACACTAAAAATTGATTATATGGAATTCACATTACTGTAGGAAATCTGCTTGTAAATACTGTAGAATCTGATGATGTGGTACATCTCTGGCACAAACGTTTTGGATATCTGAATTACAAGAGCCTTAGTCACCTTACACGGCAAAACATGGTTCTAGGCATACCTCAGTTGGGCGAAGTTAGAACTGTTTGTGAAGCATGTCTATCTGGAAGACAATCCAGAGAACGATTCCCAAAAACAACAGAGCATAGATTAATTAGAGTATTAGAATTTATCCATGCAGATCTCATAGGTCCTCTCGCTACACCCTCACTAAGTGGCTTGAAGCACATAGCAGTATTTATCAACAACTATTCACAAAAATCTTGGGTATTCTTTCTGAAAAACTAATCAGAAACACTCACAAAGTTTACTTATTTGAAAGAGATGACAGCGAAGGAAATTGGAGAGAAAATAAGCATACCTTTGAACAAACCGTGGGGGAGAAGATATGTCACTTGAGTTTCAACATTATTGCAATCACCATGGTATAAAACGACAACCAACTTAAGCACAAACACCTCAACAAAATGGGACAGCAGAACGACAAAATCAAATAATAATTGAAAGAGCAAGGTATATTGGGCAGCAAATTACTTGGCTATTTGTAGAGCAAAGCAGTCAACACAGTCACCTATATTATAAATCGGAACTCTACCACAGCCAACAAAGGAATCACACCGGAGGAACTATACAGCAAGAAAAAACTCAATGTAAGTCATCTCCAAACTTTTGCTTGTCTTTATTACATGCACATACCAAAACATAGGAACAAAACTAGATACCAAGATCATCAAATGTATTATGATAGAGTACGACTCATACTCCAAGGCATACTGAGTCTTTGAACCACACACTCAAAAAATCTATGTTACACCCGATGTGGTCTTCGATGAAACAACGAGAGGAATGGATTATATCAATGCACCAGAACAAGTTGATCCTATCCTATTGCCCTCCTTCAGAACCACTAACTCGCCAACCACCGTCAGAAACTGCAGAGCCTTTGGAATATGTTGATACATTCTGAAACCAGGATATAGCAGAAAAAGTAGATCTACCTTGTCATTGCACCAATTCATCAACACAAGCAACAAATAGTTGCAGATATCCAGCCCAATCACGCTACCCGTCTACTTGGTTGAAGGACCATTACTTGGTAACAATCGAAATAGAATCGGAGCCGCTCACTTCTATAGAAGCCAACTTGCACGATGGGTGGCGAGCAGCAATGTAGAGCAAAATGGAATCAATTCAGAAAAATGAAACATGGCGCATAGTGGATTTACTTGCGAGAAAAACAACAATGACCGCAAAATGGATTTATAGAATAAAAAAGAAGGCTATGGACGGACAATATTGAAGGCTTGATTGATAGCCCATGGGTTTCAACAAACCTACGGCATTTACTTTGATACCTACGCACTGGCCATAAGATAGACAACAATACACACCGTTCTAGTACTAAGGGCACAAAGACAGTGGTATCTTATTCAATTAGAAGTGAAAACTACTTTTCTATATGGCAAGCTGGAGGAGAAAGTTTTCATAGAAATTCCTGCTAGATTCAAAGCACCTGGGCTTGAGGAAAAGGTTTGTAAATTAGAAAGAGCACTCTACGGCCTGAAACAAGCTCCGCATGCTTGGTACATCCACATCGATACCTACTTCCGTACTGTTGGTCTCACCCGTAGCTCTTCAGACTCCAACCTCTATATATCCATTTGCGCCGGCAAAATGATACTGGCTTTTCTTTACGTGGATGATCTTATCATAACAGGAGATGATCAAATCAAAATACATGGGCGCACTACACAACTTTTGGAAACATTTGGCATGACCAAACTAGTTGAAGCAATAATGTACCTTGGGGCTGAAATAACTCGTGATCATACTGGAATTTATATTCACCATTATTTATACACACAAGGGCTACTAAGAAAATTTGACATGGCTCACTGTAATCCGGTGAGCACACCAATGTGCTCCAGTACAAAGCTACGAGAGGATACCAGTACCCACAAGACTGACCAAAAATTATATCAATCATTGATTGGCGCACTGCTCTATCCCTCGACTATGTCTAGAGTCGACATCAGCTTCGCCGTGGAGTGTTTAAGCCAATTTTTGAGAACTCCACAGCACACCCACTTAGTAGCGGCAAAGCAAATTTTACAATATCTCAATGGTACAGCCAAGTATGGAATTCACTTTCCAACTAAAAACGAGATGGTGCTTGTAACTTACGCGAATGCGGATTTTGATCGTTGTTATGACGGAGGACGACCAATCTTTGACACATCACATGAACTCGACGAAGCACCCATATATTGGTCAAGTAAACGGCAGCCTATAATGGCCCTTTCAACCACCAAAGCTAAGTATAGAGTTCTCACCGAGGCGGCAACACATGTGGTTCATCTTCGGCCACTGATCCAAAAACTCCAAATCTGATATTCAAAATCGATCCAAATCCTCGCTATAATCAGAGTTGTATTAAACTGGTAAAAAATCCAATCCTCCATGCCCAAACAAAACATATTGAAATCAAGTTTCACTTTATTAAAAAAAAAGTTCCAAAGCGGCAAAATCCTTGTTGATTACATATCCACACTAAAACAGTAAGCCGATACCCTAACTAAGCCCCTCAATGCATCTCTCTTTGAGAGATGAGCGATGCACTTGGCATCAAGACATCACTACTAATTACATAATAAACTTACCATGTAACTATAGTCCGATGATCAAGTCTAATTCCTCTTCTTGTGTCTTGGACCTCCTAAACATTGCCTTGCTGAAGCCTTTTATCTGCCGCTAGTCCTCAATCTAGATACATACTCGTATACATTATCGTATCAAGCCAAATTATCTTATCTACACTAAAAGATAATTAGGATAGAAATTAGTAGGAACAAAAAATAAATAAAAAATAGGAAATGATAAAGTGACCCAAATTTTTACTAAATCGATCCATCAATCTGGAACATGATTGCACCTTCCTATCATGTGTCCTAGTTCCTCGACGTTCTTATTCTCTCAACCTCAACTTTTCCAATTCCATCTCCATCTCAATCTTTCCAACCTTGTCCCTTGTCTCGACCTTCCTTCTTCCATTCTCACTTGTTCTATTCAGGTAGATATTCATTTGCACAATTCTCTCGTTATTTATCTCGTTTGTGTGATTGTGATTTCCAAGGAAATGTAAAAACTAATAAGTAAGCTGTTGATATCTCCTCCATGCACTTGATGGAAGAGTTGAATTTTTTGTAGATTCTAATGCATCCTTGATTTCACCAAAGCATGCATGGAGCAATCGATCAAACCAACCATTATATTAAACTACAATTGTTTTAAAATCAATACCTTAATCTCACTCATAACTTTAAAAGTTACAAGTTATTTTTCTTCCACAAATGAGATCACAATTGAGTGGATACTCTTCTTTCCACAAATCCATGAAAAAAAACTACTAACAAATTACAAAGGTCGTATCCGTGCTTCTATAGCTTAAAATAGTATAAGTTTGCTTGAAATTGTATGTAAGAAAGAATTGAAGAGAGGAGGTGTTTACAATGCAACTATGAAGATGCAAGTCACAATATCAAGGTAATGGATCAATGGATCAATTTTTAGTGAGATTTACTTATAGTAACCTAATGATGCTCAACTCTTGCAGCAACAATATCATATGATCTCAAGCATCTCCAATCCATTGTATACCACTGTGGTCAAGAAGCTACCTTTCTACTTGGCCATCATTACAAGGCTTAAAATGCCAAGCAAACAACAATTGCCTATCTAAAGTTGTTGTCCATAGGAAACTAAATCAAAAAATCATCCATGTTATAATTATAAATATCAACAATACAATCATATTAGAAAATAAACATTAACCACTTCTAATACAATACACAATAAAGGCCAAACACTTACTTTGGAGAAGGATTTGTGAATCATTTGAATATGAGAGATTTAATTGAAAGAATCAATGCAAATTTCAAAGATAGAACAATAGCAAGAAGAATAATAATCAATAAAGCAAAATGGAGAATGAACCATCTTAGTTGATGAAAAATTTGTTCTACCACATCTAACCACCCGCTTGCTAGTCACATACTTATTATCTATCATCCATTCTCAATATCAAAAAATCCTCATCCATCAAAGTTGTGGCATAGTTCCACAACTTTTTATAGAAATCACTCATATTTTTATTAAAAAATTACTTTGTACTATAAGTTTGGACTCCCCTCTCTCATGATATATTGTTTTTATTTTGGCTATAGAATATTTATTCTTTTTTTATCTAAAACTAACTACTATTGCATTACAATACAAATAAGTTATTGGAGCAATATTGACTTGACTTGATGCAATAATAGTTGACAAAGAAGTGTATGCGTAGAAGGTAATGGTGTCAACATTGTGCTTGATGGAAACTGAGATGAATATCCCTATTTGGATCTTGCATACAAAGGATGCCTACATCCATTTTGTAGGCACCATCATAGTAGCTAGGTTGGTGACGAATCTCTATACTCTCTATAGAAACACTATTCCTGCAATTTTTTTTTTTTTTTTTTTTTTTTTTTTCCCCCTCTCTCTTGCTTTATTCTTATTAGTCCTTATCTAGCTTGGTGTGGTTCCAAGTTTATAATGGCTTTAAGCAAACGTCCCATGTAACTCTAAGTAGCTTGAAGGTCTTCACTTCATGATCATGGAATTGTGAGTTTAAAGTGTATTCAAGAAGATCTTTATTTGAAAAAAACATGATCAATCCTAAATTTTTAAATTTCATGGCTCTTTTGTTTACAAACCACAATACTTAGCTTTGTCATGTATTATGTTTTAGTTATTAGTTTTAGAGCTTTCTAAAGGTTTGTTTTTGTTTCTTTTTTCTTTGATTTGAGAAGCTCACATTAAATCACCAATTATATATAATCATCTCGTAACAACTCATGTGTTGCTATCTTCTATTGAAGATGTTAGATACGTTTTTCCTAACCATTTGATTTATGTCCAATAAATCTAATAATTTCTTATTTTTAAGCTAAAAAATTCTCTAGTTTAGGTGAATTATTCTAATTCACAACTATTAATTAATATATAAGTTGATTACATAAAATTTCCTCTTACTTCTTCATAAAACGACTTAAATTAGTTGAGTAATTAAACTTATATTCAAACAACTATAAAACAATAATTTCTATACTTAAACAATTCAACCACACTATAATTGAAAGAAGAAACTTTTATATTGTTTTAATTTAATTTTTATTATTAATTATCATCCAAAATCAAAAGTTCTTGCAAGAATAACTTCTCATCCACAAATAAATTTTCATCCATACTTAATCAATATTCATTCATAAATATTCATCCATAAAGTTCATCCAATCATCATACATGAATTTTTTTCATCCAATTATATTAATTCATCTAAGTTACATCCTAAAAATTGAAAAAAAAACTAAGAGCCGTCACCTCCCATATCTTGGCAGCAATCTCTTTGCACAAAAATGATCACCACTTCTTCTTTGAAGATTGTCTTGAAGCAAGTCTTAGCTTTTTAGAAACTAGACTTAAAGCCGCTCCTTCTCTAATAAAATTTTCCTTCAAATATGGATTTTTGCCTCCAATATCACCCCTCAAAGTTGATGCTTCAATTCAGCAAGGCAGCATACTCTTTTTTACAAAATTGAGTGCCACGTCTTGGTAATTGATTGCCCTTTAGTAACTCAAAGTGATTTAGAATCCTAACTTCAAATGGCACCTTTTTCTAAAGTTTGAGTCTTTGGACTATCTCAAACCTTCTAATCTCATCCTCCAAAGTTGTGCCTTCATTGGGCCGCTTGAATTCAGAGGCAACAGATCCCTTTCTATAAGAATGGACACTACTATCACTTCTTTGATCCAATGTGGTTGATTCTTAGTTTTTTTGGAAACTACACTTCAACTATTTAATATGATAATTCTTATTACTTTCTAGCTTGTGAGCAATGAGAAAGAACTCTCCAAAATGGAACTATCAAACTATGAAGGTAGATTATTACTCTTCACTAAATTCAAGGATTTTTCTTCATACAAACTTCAAATTCTATTTTTTTATGTCTAAGAAACTTCAAAAAAGGTAATTTCTTCACTTAAAAATTCAAAAATTAATTTTAAAAACTAAAAGGAAAAAGATGGAATAACAAGCTACTTACAAATCTTAGGAATTTTTTTTGCATGACTTTTGCCTATCAATAAAAAGATGAGAGAGTGAGCTTGGGCAACCAAGCCACTCTTGTACAACTAAGTAGAGACTTGTGGGAGGGAGGCCACATCTCCACCCTTCATCTCTAAGATCTTTAATCTAGATCTACGGCCTTCATTCATCTAAGAGTCAAAACCAGAGACTGAGACTGATGGCCATCAAATGAACCCTAGAAATGACTTTTTGGCCAAAATAACTTCACCATTGTCTTTAAAACATATTTTCTAGTAAATATTGACTACTCACATACTTTAATCCATAAGAATTTGAAATACTTATGAAGATTAAAAGTATGGCAATTTAGATTGAATTTAATTTACTCCTATATTACTTCTAACTTACTTCTAATTTACTTTTGACATCATTATAAATAAAATTTAAATTAAAGAATTATTATAAATAAGAATAAATAATAAAATTAATAAAAATTAACATTAAATTAATTATTGATTTATTATTTATGCTCACAATTTTTCTTTGAGAATACAAGCTTAAATCTTACACTAATACTAATTTTCCTTTATTTAGAGTCTTCTAAACTAATCTTTACTTAATAATTGCAATTTGGCATTCTTAATGCATTTTTTTGTTCTAAAACAATTAGCAAGTCAATTTGATGATTTACATGTATTCAGAGCATATCCAAAGAGATATTTATTTAGAAAAGATATGATCAACCTCAAATATTTAAGTTTTATGGCTCTTTTGTTTGCAAACCACAATGCCTAATTTGTCATGTATTATGTTTCAATTATTAATTTTAGAGCTCTTTGAAGGTTTATTTTGTTTATTTTTTATAATTCTTTTTTCTTTGATTTGAGAAGTTTACATTGAATTATTGAATATGTAGAATCATCTTGTAATAACTCATGTGCTATTATCTTTTATTTAAGATGTTGGAAATAAGTTCTATAATAGGCTTCCACAATTTTTTTGCAACTACTCTTGTAGTCTCATCCCTATGCATCATTGTAGAAAGGCAATTGCGCCAACCAAAAATGGATCATGGCATTATGAGCATAAAAAATAATCTGCCATGTTAAAAGACTATCATCTGCAAATCAAATATGGAAAAGAGATCGTCATTCCACTTGCTAGTAAGAACTAGTCTATAATTTGTTTTTGATACAAAGTAGGACTTGTTGTAGGCATGCAACT